GTTGGATATTCTCTTTAGGCCATACGTGGCATCCTTATCTTTAATATAATCAATTCTCTTCAATCATTTGTAACAACTTTATAGCATTTATTCTTTTTTCTCTCTTCTTCCTCAATTTCATCACTTTGCACCAACAAATTGGTATCTAAAGCTCTTGGTTTGTTCTGAAATTCTGGGAAACACGAGTGATAGTGAGCTGTGTGTTTGATTTTTTGGTTCCTGATTTCTGTTGAATCTTGAAAAAAAATCTAAAACAGAATCACACTGATTCTGTGGGTTTGGGAAACACTGAGTGAGAATATGAGATCTGAGTTTTTGTGCAAGGTTTAAGATGAGTGGAGGCAGTAGTTTGAACAGTAAACTTCCAGTTTTTGATGGCAAAAGATGGAACAAATGGAAGATACAAATGCGTGTGTTGTTTGGTGCTCAGGATATTATGGATCTTGTTACTGAAGGTTATGTTCCAGTTGTAGCAGATGCTATTAAAGAACAAAAATCTGCAGAAAGAGCTACGAGGAAGAGGGAACATAAAGCTCTGTTCTATATCCATCAGTGTATGGATGAAAGTGTGTTTGAGAAGATTGTTGATTCGACGACATCGAAGGAGGCATGGGATATATTGGCCAGATGTTATGGTGGTGACGCGTCATTAAAGAAGGTAAAGCTTCAGTCCCTGCGAAAGCAATATGAGAATCTCAGCATGAAGAACAATGAGAAAGTTTCCGAGTACATCTCCAGAATGATTCTGATCACTAATGAGATGAAAGCTTGTGGAGAAACACTTTCTGAACAGGTAATCATAGAAAAGATTCTGAGGTCACTTACTCCTCAGTTTGATTACATTGTTGTTTCTATTGAACATTCTAAAAATTTGGAAACCATGAGAATAGAAGAGTTGCAAAGCAGTCTAGAAGCGCAAGAGTTGCGTCTGACTGAAAGAACTTATGAGAGGGAAGTGGAGCAAGCTCTGGAAGCTTCTTTTGTCAAGAAGGACCAGAAGCAGAATAGACGTGGTGATAAATTCCAGAAGTCAGAAACCTCAACTTCTGATGAAAAGAAATATCAGAATGGAAAGGAAAGGTATGAAAAGAAGAAGGTTCAATGTTACTGTTGTAAACAGTTTGGCCATTTTTCCAGAGATTATAGAAACAAAGGAAGGAAATCAGAAGAAGCAAATATAGCCAGAGGAGATTCTGATGATGAACCTGTGCTACTGATGGCTTCTGATTCTGATGGAAATTGTTCAGAAGATTGGTGGTATATGGACACTGGTTGTTCAAACCACTTGACTGGGAACAAACAACGGTTGATAGACTTTGACTCCAAAAGGAGAACAAAGATCAGGTGTGCTGATGATAAGTATCTTAATGCAGAAGGTATGGGAAATGTCAGAGTCAGAGTGAAGAATGGAAAAAACATTCTGATCAAAGATGTTTGGTATGTTCCTGAGATTAAAAGCAATCTGATGAGTGTGGGTCAGCTTATTGAGAAAGGTTTCTCAGTGGTTATGAATGACAACCTCTTGACGTTGTATGATTCTAATCAGAATTTGATTATGAAGTATGACCAGGGAAGCAACAGAACATTCAAGGTGAATGTAGAAACAGCTGAAGCAAAGTGTCTTAGTGCAGAAGGCGCTGAAGGTGACAGTAAGATGTGGCACAAGAGGTTGGGGCACTTGAACTATAGAAGCTTAGGGCATCTAAGTTCTAAGAAGCTCATACATGGCATTTCGAAGATTGTGAAGCCTCAGAAGTCATGTGAGATATGCATGAAAGGCAAGCAACCCAGATTGCCATTTACATCAGAAGTAGCCCCCAGAGTAAAGCATGCTTTGGGAGTAGTACATTCTGATGTGTGTGGACCATTTCCAGTATCTTCACTTGGAGGAAACAAATATTTGGTGTCTTTTGTGGATGAGTTCACAAGAATGACATGGGTAACACTCATCAAGTTCAAGCATGAAGTGTTTACTGAGTTCCAGAAGTTCAAGGTGAAGGCTGAGAAGCAGAGTGGTCAGAAGCTGAAGATTCTGAGAACAGATGGTGGAGGTGAGTATAACTCTACAGAGTTACAGAAGTTCTGCGAGTAGAATGGAATAGAACATGAGGTTACTGCTCCATATACTCCTCAGCACAACGGTCTTGCTGAAAGAAGAAACAGAACTTTGCTTGATATGACCAAAAGTATGTTGAAAGAGAAGAAGCTACCTCACATGTTATGGGGAGAAGCTGTTGTCACGTCAGCATATGTTCTGAATAGGTGTCCAACAAAGAAGCAGAAGGAAATTGTTCTTTTAGAAAAATGGATTGGAGACAAGCAAAATGTTAGCCATCTGAAGGTGTTTGGTTCTGTATGCTACAAACACGTTCCAGAGGCTAGAAGACGAAAACTGGACGATAGAAGCAAAGTAATGTTACTGGTGGGGTACCACAGTACATGTGCCTATAAGATTTATTGTCCAGAAACCAACAAAGTTGAAATCAACAGAGACGTCATTGTGAAAGAGTCAGAAACATGGGATTGGGACAAGCTTCAATCAGATTCTGGTGTAGCACCAACACCAGAGTTAGTTTATGAAGATTCTTCAGAAAGTTCTGAAGACGAGTCAGAGTCAGAAGATGAAGACTCTGAAGATGAGTCAGAATCTCAGGGAGATTCTGATAGTGGATCTGATTCTGATCCAGATTCTGATGATGATCCAGAATCTGGTGGTGATTATATTTCTGGAAGGGAAAACTCTGAAGACATAGGGTCTGGAGAACAAGTTTCCAAAAGTAACTCTGAAGGTGGTAATTCTGAAGGAAGTAGTTCTGGACAAAGTCCAGAAGCTAGCATTGCTTCAAGTTCTGGAGAAGCTTCAGAATAAGTTCAGAGGCCACAGAGAATCAGACGAATACCAAGTAAGTTTGCAGATTTTAGCATGTTGCATGATACTGAAGTAGATTCTGAAGGAGAAATCGTTCAGTGTGCCATGTTAGTAGATTCTGAACCAGTGGGTATTGAAGAAGCTCTCAAGAAGAAAGTATGGCTGAATGCCATGAAAGAAGAACATGAGGCTATTGAAAGAAACAAAACATGGAAGCTGACGAAGCTTCCAGAAAAGAAGAAAGCCATCGGCGTTATATGGATTTTCAAGGTTAAGCTTAAGCCAGATGGATCAATTGGAAAACACAAAGCGAGACTAGTGGCTAGAGGTTTTCTTAAGAAACCTGGACTAGATTACTTTGAGGTGTTTGCGCCTGTAGCTAGACATGAAATAATCAGACTGGTGATTGCTTTAGCTGCAAAAAAAAATTGGCCTTTGATACATCTGGATATGAAGTCTGCATTTCTGAATGGTCCGTTACAAGAAGAGGTATATGTGTCGCAACCTCCTGGATTTGTAAAAAATAATCAGGAATGAATGGTATACAAGTTACATAAAGCCTTGTATGGACTGAAACAAGCGTCCAGAGCTTGGAATCTGAAAATTGATTCGTTTTTTAAGAGGCAGAAGTTTCAGAAATGTGAGATGGAGTATGGCGTGTATGTGCAACATTCTGGTAGCAATATGATTCTGGTGTGTCTATATGTTGATGACATATTGTTAACAGGAAGTTGTCCAAAAGATATAGTCAAGTTCAAAGAAGTTCTGATGAATGAATTTGAGATGACAGATCTGGGAAATACGGTATATTTTATAGGAATGGAGATTATGTACTCAAAGAAGGATATCATTCTGCATCAGCTGAAGTATGAATTTGAACTTCTGAAAAGATTTGAGCTAGAAAATTGCAAGGTTGCTATCACACCTGCTGATACGAATCAGAATTTGGACTTTGATTCTGATGGAGAGGATGTGGATGCTACAACCTTCAAACAGATGGTTGGTTCTCTGAGGTATTTGTGTAATACCAGACCTGATATTTGCTATGCAGTTGGAATGGTTAACAGATACATGAGCAAACCAAAGTGGTCTCATTACCAAGCTACTGTCAGGATTTTGAGGTATGTAAAAGGAGCTCTGAAATATGGAGTGTTATTTCCGTTTGGAGGAAAGATCGAATTAGAACTTCTGAGTTATTCTGATTGCTGTGGAGATAGAGTTGACAGAAGAAGTACTTCTGGGTACTTATTCAAGTTTTTGGGAGGTCCAATTTCTTGGAGTTCCAAGAAACAGCCTGTTGTGACTTTGTCAACATGTGAAGCTGAATACATTGCATGTGCTGTAGCTGCATGTCAAGCTGTTTGGCTTCTGAATCTTCTGGAGGATTTGAAGATTGAAATAGAGAAACCTCTAAAGCTGTTGATTGATAACAAGTCTGCAATCAATCTTGCCAAGAATCCTGTGCTACATGGAAGAAGCAAGCATATTGAGAGGAAATATCACTTTCTAAGAAGTCAAGTGCAGAAATGAGTGTTAGAAATTTTGCACTGTAGCACTCAGAAGCAACTGGCAGATGTTCTGACGAAGGCAATAAAAATAGACCAATTTCTTCGCTTGAGAGATGAAATTGGTGTTGTTAACTTCTGATAGTTACTAAATTACGGGATGGTATTAGAGGGTAATTTAGTATTTGCCATTTGTTGGATATTCTCTTTAGGCCCTATGTGGCATCCATATCTTTACCACTTTTGTGTATAAATAAGTGTACTAGGTTTACATTTAATACAATCAATTATCTTCAATCATTTGTAGCAGCTTTAAAGCATTTATTCTTTTTTCTCTCTTCTTCCTTGATTTCATCACCTTGCACCAACAAAATTTGGCTTTTAGTATCAAAATTTTCATTGGAAAAAATTATTTTCATTTTACTAAAGAATATTTCTAAAATAATAAAAAAGGGTGCCAGATCAAATTTAAGGGTTACTATTTAGGAAAAATCCACGCTATCTATCTCGTAAATTATTTAATAATGAATAGATTTTTTGTTACACAGTTTGTGAAGGTTTAATACTTATTGTCCCTTTCATCCGCCCCGAGTGTGAAACAGAACCGCCGTGTGCGGCACACGAAAATGTCGAACTCCGGTGACGCAAACACAACATCACAAGAGCAAGAGCAAGAATGGGCAACAATGGCACAAGCCTGGCTTTGTTCTTTCCCCGAGGCCAAAGAAGTAAGCATGACGGAGGTTGAAGCTTGGATCGACGCTAACCTCTCTTCTCTCCCGGAGGGAATCCAATCCATGCCTCGCTCCGACCTATGTCTCAGGCTCATCTCAATTCAAAACTCCATGAGACTCCCAAATCAGGTTTCAATTTTATTCTCATTCTAATTCTAATTGTTTTGTTTATTCTATCCAACACTTTATTGATTTTTCAAATGTTGCAGGAAAATGAAGAGAATAATGTTGACGTTCCTCATGCTAGGTTTCAACGCACTGATCAATGGCTTCCGGTTTATGCGTGGTTAGAAACTTTGAATAAGGATGAAGTGGTTAAGTCTAAGGAAATTGCTGACTGGTTAGAGCAGAACCCTAACATTCAAGAACAGTTATGCTCGAGGCATTCGAGATATCATTTGATGCACTATGTTAAAAAATGCCATTTCAAAATATTGAAAAGAAGGCAAAAGGGGAAGGTATCAATTCCTTTCTCACCTTTGTTCTGTTTCTTTTGTTCAATAGATAGTCATGATGATCTTGAACTGAAATAGTTTAGTTTAGTTTAGTTGCTTTCTGCACCTTGTGCCTTCCAATGTCTAAATTGTTCATATATGTATCTCCTTTGGTATTTAACAGAATGATGTGAGTATTTCTTGTTCTCTCTTAGGGGTCTGATTAGATTGACTTATTTAAGCTTATATACTGACATTGACACTTGCGAGAATGTTGAGAGAGCTTGTGAAATTGAAAACCACTTATGAGGGGTCAATAAGTTGTTATTTAGCTTATTTTGCATAAGCTCTACATGATTTTTTTTATGAGAATCATTTGACTAATATATATTTGTTATGGAAATAGCTTATACATTAGCACTCACTCTTTCCAGAATGATTCATAAGCAAAAGTAAACTAAATCACTCTTATATATTATGATAATTAATTGTATAATTTTCTTTAAAATATATTCATATTACCTAAGTTATCCTTCAAGATATTCATAAATTTATTCATTGGAAACTAAAGTTAAATTAAATGAGAGGTATTTTGGAGATAGTAGCATCGATTATGTTAAAAGTTTTAACTTTTAGTTATACTTCATTTCAAGATAAATTAGCTATATATGTTTATAAATGATTCCGGAGAGAGTATGTGATAAGGGCTTAGTTAATCTGTTTATTCAAACAGGACCCAGGTCCAGAACAAAACACACAAACACAATACCAAGGACAGTTTGAATATGTTAAATTATGCACACAAAACTGTGTTCTTTGCATTACGTCACATGTATTTACAATATTGGCACTCCCTTACCTATGCAGGGTTTGGTAGAACAGCCTGGCAAAGACATGTCATTAAAGGTTCAGAAAGATGTCGTGATGAAACACCCAGCCCCATTTCCAAGTATGTTTATCCATCTTACCTTATAAATTTTCTATGGTTACTAACTTACTATACAGAAGAATGTTTGTTTCACTTTCACTTCTCCAAAATTGCACATTTCTGCAAATTAGCTGGTATGTGGGAGGACATTATTGGAAACTATTTTATGGGAATTGGTTCGGATGATAAAGGGATTAAATTTAATTATTAGAACTTTTTGAATATTATAATTGTAAATTTGCATGTGTACCAGTTAATCTAATTTTGTTCCTGTATTAACAATTTAATCCTGTTTCAAATATTTTGTGGTTTGACCTGCTCTGTATCTACAAGTACAGTTTCTATACTTTTGTTACTCTCCCGTGGCCTTGTTTCAAGCCTTCTGTTAATATCTGTGAAGTGCCATCGGATACTGATCTTTAGTTTAGGGTCATTCTACCATGTCTTAAACCATTTATCTCTATTCAATTGTTCATGCTCAGGAAATTTCTTAGCTATTTTAATTTACTCTTTTTTATATTTCGAATTCACTTTGGGTCATTGTTTACCTGCGGATTTGGTAAATAACGTTTGTCTCTTGAAAACAAGTTTACGTGCGAGATCGACCAGTGAACCTCGGAGCAGTGCTTCAGTTCGCGTGTGTAGTCAAAGTGTTTTCAAAAAGGGTGCGTTCGACTGAGAGTCAAACGTATTTAAATTGCAAAAGATAAAGACAAAAAGACGAAGTAAAGGAAACGAAAAAGCATTTTAAGTTGTAAAAGATAATGACATAACATTAAAGAAAGTTGTAAAGTAGGTTAGTTCAAACATACATTGCCTTTGTCTGACTCATTTCGCTCGTTCACTTGGTTACTTTGAGTGACTAGCGTGCAGGAATGTGAAAAGTTTGACCCTTTACAAAAGTGCACTAAGTGCTTTATTTATAATACACATAAATAACTAGTTTCTAAGTGAGCTTCGTTTCCTTGCATGCCACGTGTTCTTCGTAACTTCCCCTCACGAACCCACATTCTCTATTGTAACTTCTCTTTGTGAACCCACGTTTTCCATTGTGGTCGAACCCACGCTCTCCCTCCATAACGTTTCGCCTTTACCGTTTAGGCGCTTATGGGCCTTTTAACTCTTTTGGACTTCTCACCTCCCTGGGTTCAATCCATTCACCATAAACTTTTCTCTGGTCGACTGCGCTTACGAAATCTTGATCGTCTTTAATGCTCTTAATTTAATGCTCTTTAATGCTCTTAAAAGACCCTTTTTGACTTTTGGTTTGAATTTCTCTCTTTATGAAAATCCCAGCCGACAGTCATTCTACCATGTTTTAAACCACTTATCTCTAATTTTATAAATGTTAGCATTTCAAAGAAATTGTGTGTTGAGTCACACAGCCTCATAGGAGTTAAGTTAATGCTGTTATTAGTACTTAATAATTATAGGTTTAGGTTACTGCTGTTATTAGTATTTCATAATCATAGGTTATGTTCTTGTAAAATTTTCAGATAGTTCTGTAAACAATCTTCCCAAAGATAGTGATTTATACTTGGCCAAAAGAAATGAAGCCTATCAAAAATATGAGATGTAAGTGAATTTTCACATATTATTTATGTGCTACACCTTAGGTACTAGAAGTTTATTAGTGTACATATTTCAGTTTTCTTTACATTGATTTTGTTTCAGTTTACTTGAGTTGGAGAAGCTGTTTTCCCCAGTATTCTCAAAGCCTCATATCATCAACCAGTGATGCTGTGTTGGAAACATCAACTACCGTGTCAGTCTGTGGAGTGCTGATTCGTATGTACAGTGACCGAGAATTTCCTGATTTGGCCCCGCTCCAAAGTTACCCTTGTGTTAATTGATCTTCTCACAATTCCTGTTCAACGAAGCAATGCTGCCTGTGTTCACCTTACAGGTTAATTGTTGTCATTAGGGTATGGTAGTAGATCTTGTGTATTTTTTTTTAATTATCTAGAAAGTAGTGTAGCTTATTTATATTAATGATCATATAACTTTGCTAATCCTTTGTAATAAAAGTATTACAACTAGAAGTAAGATGGAATGTACTGCCAGGAGTATAAGATATGTAAGCCTTGGTTAGAGCATAAACACAACCAGTTTTGCTAAACGACTTGAGAATCAACATCGAAATTGTTGTTCAACAGAAGATGTGCAAGATAACTGAATTTCATTTCTGTCTATACTCTGATAATGTTAACCTTCCCCAAACCTTGTCCATGCACATAAAATTGATTTCATAAAACTTTAAATTGCTAGACTAAAATATCTATTTATTAAATGTCACGTGAAATATTATGCGGGTGCAAACTGTAAAATTAATATTTCTTTTTATTAAAATTTCTTTCTTCTCATAAACCAAACCAAATGTTCCACGTATAATTGGCAATAAATTTCTCTCTGTCAAAGAAAGATAATCAGCTCCACCTATATTGTTAGGAAACTTTTACTACAGCATCAATTTCCTGTAAGAAGTCAGAATGATTCATTTCCTGTAATAGTCTGCAACATGCTGGGATTCCTACTCCACCCAACCCCTCCAAAACCACAAATATTGGTGAATTAGAAACGTTCCAACAGATAATAGCCTGTTTGTTTTAATTTTGAAAAAATAGATTTTTTTTTTTTGGCTGTATTTTTTAAAATAGATTTTATAAAATTATTTTTCAAAATATTACAAGTTTTTTTATATTTATTTTTACTAAAATTGAAACACTAATTTTTACATTGTATAATATAAATATATTTATTGAAGACCAAAATATAATCAAAATCGCAATTTTTAAAAATATTGTATTCCAAAAATGTTTTTTATGAAAATCTTTTTGAAATAGCTTCAAAATTAAGTTTTTTTTTTTAAAATTTTAATATTAAAAAAAATTTTAATAGGAAAATGAAATACCTAAAATAACATTTTAAGAATAATTATTCAAACTAAATTTTCATTTGAAACTTTTATGAAAAGTTTGTTTGTAAATTTTATTTACACAATTATGTTACACTATAAAAATTATTTTAAAAAAAAATCAAAACAAACGGGTCCATGAATATAGAAAACTCTACCTCATAACCCTTGATGGATTATGTGGTAAAAATTTCTAAATCTATTGGTTTAATGCATAGCTGAATCCTTTCCCTTTAGCATTTTCCAAGCCGTTTTCACCGATCTGTTTATTTTCTTAAAAATCTTCTCATTACACCCTCCACAATACCTAAATATGTTATGATATTACCGGTTGATCAGAACCTGAAAATGGACCGAGATGATGAGGTTTGCTTGGCTGGAAATATGAAGAGAGGATGAGGGTGTACCTGCAAGGCACTCCGACGATCTAGTGAGAAAGAGTGCAAAGAGATACAAGTAAGAGATTAGGGTTTTTAAAATGAATATTGGATACCTGGCCCTCACAAGTGTGAGACATTATATAATGCCCCTGACGCGTAGTCATTGGTTCCTATTTCTGGGCCTAGATGTTAGGTTCCTCAAAAATAGGTAATTGCCAGGACTTGATCAAAACAGGCAGTCGTACCCGTAACTAGCCGTTACACCGAGCACGGAAGAGATTACAAGTAGAAGCGTTTATGAGTATTTCCTGATTGTCTGCTCTATGTTCGTCAAGCAGATTGGGAGTTAGGCGCCAGCGTGGGCAAGAGTGTGTCTTGAGCATCACTGGCCTTACTGCTCAAGGGGTGTGGTCGACCGGGGATTCCCGACAGGCAGTCCATCGCTGATGGGCCAAAATTGTTGGGACATGCAAAATATAGAAACGGATTGGGCCAATTCTAGTCATTGAGCCAGTCCAGAACATGAGTCCCCCAAGTCGTTGCTTCTGGGAAGAGGAGCGGTGACTTAAGACATGCCCATAAAAGGGGCACGTTTCATGGACGAATCCGTACAAGGAGCTTGAGCAATACCCAGTGTGTTCGTCTATCGGGGAGAAGAACAACTTATTGGATCTGAGGGGTTAGCGTGTTTGTGCTTGCATCGAGCCACGTGCCATCATAAATGTGTAATGATGGAAAGTCTAGGGACTAGGCGTAATGATGAAGACCCTAGTTTCTCCTAGGCGCGTGCTTGCCCACGTGCTGGCAGAGTTGCATATAAATGGGGATAAGAAGCTTCATTCGCACTTTTTCGCTTGCTCTCTTCTACTTGTTTTTTGTAGTTCTTCAAAGCGCCACCGTTCATCGTTGGAGTTTCTGCTCGTTCCGTCGTCCATCACCGAGGTTCCTGATCGCCCCGTCGTCATCTTTCCCCAACCCAGTAAGTTCCTTGATTTTCCTCTGTTTCTGTGAAATTTATTCCCGTTTTAGGTTAGATTTTCTGATTTTGATTCTAGAGATGCATGCGGTTAGGATTAGATTAGCTTTAGTGCGAAATTTTCTGATGATTTGTCGATGTTTGACGGTGGTTCTACCACATGAGGGTGTTGATTCCGTCGTGGATCCTTTAGAGTTTATGGGCAATTAGGTCATTTTCTAGGCTTTCGTTATGACATTTATGCGTTTTTGATGAACCCTCAGGTGAGGTTTAAGATTCAGTTATCGGGGAGAGTATTCCTCGCGCGGGCTATGGTTTACCCTGACGGACAGGCGCCTAACGCGTTAGAGGGAATCCTCCCTGTGTCGTTCTATGCTATTTAATTGAAGGATCTGGTTGGGGACAGGGTCCTCGTTCCTTTGCGTGCCCTTTAACTTGACTAGTGGTGGAAGGGTGGATTTGATTCGACGTCGAATTCACTTTTGTCATTTGCTTTTCAGGTAAAATGGCCAGTAGCTCTGGAGAGGAAGTAATGAGCGAGCAAAATTCATTTGACCGATCTACGTCCGACCAAAGTACAACTGAAGAGAGTTCGTCCGCGCAGACCACATCGGGGTAACCCAAAGTTTTGGGGCTAAACATGCCCGTACAGGAAGTGCCTATGGTTTCTGACAGGGTAGATTGGACCGCTCCTGTTCCTCGGGAGAGTGCTTCATATTTTGTCAAGCACCCAAAGGAGGAGTTCACGGCTTTATCTGAGAGGATGGAACAACCGAATACCGAGGAAGATTGGGCTGTTTACGTCCCCAAGAAGCATGGTAGGATCTATTCAAAGTATGAGGACCATCATCTTCATATGTACGAGATCATTTTTAAAGATCTGGGGCTCCGGCTGCCCTTTCAGACTTTTAGGTGGGTGTCTTTGACCATCTCCACCTTCCTTCTTCACAGCTGTATCCCAACACGATAGCCTTCATGCGGGATTTTGAGATGGTGTATGAGCATCTGAAGATCGGGGATACCGTTCCCTTGTTTAAAGCAGTTCAGATGGGTATCTTTAAAACAGGCGGGCAAGCTGTTTAAAGCCTATCTTGAAATATGTCTGACATTTTAAGGATAGGTACATCTTGGTTTAGCCCGTGTCGGATGAAGCTATTTTCAATGTTTTTAACAGTGTTCCTAAGCTCGATTCGGACGGGCGGCAGGTGTTTACTGAGGAGGGCGAGGTTGTGAGGGAGCTTGAGCAGAAGTTTAATTTTCATTGGCATGTGGAACATTTTAACCACGAGACTGATCATTATATTGTGAAGGCGGGCCAGTTGAACACTGGCGATCAGGCCAGTTACGACCAGCTGCTGGATTTCGTTGCGGGGATACCCCCAATCCAGCGTGTGGGCGAAGGGAGAAGACCCGTTGTTGACGAGGACGAGAAGCCAGTGTAAGAACAAGAAGTATTTCCTACACCTGGACTTGAGATTTTGATGATAACTTTACATGTTATCTTAGGGAACAATCGTATAGACTAATGGTTTTGTGTAGTGTGTAGCTTATGATATAGTGTTGACTCTGGTACAAGGTGTGTAACGTCATCAGGTTCTGAATATACACTCTGGAAGAAAACATGTGGTTACATGTTTTGGTACAGCCAATGTTCAAAAATGATCTTCTGCAACGTGTCTTAGGAACATTAATATAAGAAGTTTTGGTTGTGGCTTTGTGGTTTAGCTTTAGAGGCCTTCCAAAGCTTTACTTCTGTGTGTTACAAGTTTCGAAGATTATGAAGACAAGGTTCAGCAGAACAAGTTCTGATGATCTGAAAAAAAGGAAGTTCTTACAACCAAGTGCTGAAGACTCTGAAGAGAAGGTTCTATGTGACAAGTTCTGAAGACTCTAAGACTTAGGTTCTAAGGCTTAAGAAAGATTCTTCTACAATAAGCTTCAACGTCCAACATTCAAATATCTGAAGCCTCTGTAGATAAAGAATAAAAGTTCAAAATGGTTAACGTGTGATATTGTACAAAAGGTACATAAAGTGTTTGCGACCTCTACCCTCTAGGGTGGCGTAAGGATAATATTTTATATTGTATTGACAACCACTCTCATTGTGACTGTTGGGAACAAACAACTGAATTTACAACTATCTTTCTTTACTTAACGGATCTCGGGTTACAAGCTTAATAGAAAAATATTATTCAGAGGAAAAGGTGGAAAGCTATCATTGAGTAGTGACAGGATACAAAAATATTATTTTATACTATCTAAACTCTTACACTTTATTCTATCTGTTGGGAACTAACCGTTGGTGCAGGTAAAGTCTGTTCTATCCTCACAACATCTCTATCTGTCAAGGGCTATAAAATAAGATCAAAACTTTAAAGATAAATTGTTGGTTAGCGGTTTAACTGTTGCCATTGGCCAATAAGCTTCATCATGTGGAAGGAAAGTAGTGGACTCTGAAGATGTTAAAGTTGTAATGCTATACATACTGAAGACCACTAAAAGAAGAGAGAAAAGAAAGAAGAAGACTACAAGATGTTATTCAACTTCCAATCACATACATCTTGGTAGATCTCAGAAGAAGCAATGAGTTGTTACTCATAGATTGCTCAACAAGAAGATGAATAAGAACACTACAAGATGATACTTAACTTCTGATCATATACATCTTTGAAGAATATTGTAACGAACACTAGATTTGTTGCTCGAATAATGTTTATGTTCATATCTCTTCATGTAAATTATTTTAACACTTGAGTTGTTTCTCAAAGAAGTGTAAAATAATATATGCTCAAAACACTTGTGTATCTGCTTAGAAGAAGCATTCATGTAAACACAAGAAACTCTATCAACTGTTGTTGATTAGTTCCTTGAGAGACTGAGTGAAGGTCTGATCTCAAGAAGACAATGGCTGCTGGTCATTGTGGGAAATCCTGATAGGTGATTATGCGGGATCAGATTCTATTGGATCAATGATTGTTATATCCGGTTGGATCACTGGACATATCATTGCAAGGTTCCTTGACAGACTGAGTGAAGTTATGATCTCAAGAAGATAATGGCTGCTGGTCGTTATGGGAAATCTTGATAGGAGATTCTGAGGAATCATATTCTATTAGGTCAATGGTAGTCATATCTCAAAGAGGACCGAGTGAAGGTCAGAATCTTGCGAGATCCCTGATGGATATCATTGCAATGAAATCTTGGTAGGAGATCTCGAGGGATCAGATTATATTGGGTCAATGAACGTTATATCTGATTGGGTCCCTGAATGTTTCATTGTGTGTTAGTCATTGGCGGTTACCCGTGCGATTGTAATCAGTTTAGTTATAGTGGATTAAGTCCTTGGATAAGGCGAAATCATCCTTGCAAGGATGGACATGAGTAGCCTAGTTAATGGTGAACGTAGATAAAATACTAGTGTCTTTTATCTTCATTGTCTTTATTGCTAATATCATTTGATTGCAAAGAATTTCTAATGGGGAATGTTTTCTATGAACATAATTCCACCCCCCCCCCCCCCCCCTTATTGTGTTTTCTCTACCTTCAATTGGTATTAGAGCGCGACTCTGTTATTAATTTAAGATCAAACACTTAACCGTGTAGAGAGATCCAGTAAAGAGAAAATTCTGTAGCTTTCTGCTACTCAAATGATAGAAAGCTTTTCTGATTCAAAACCCGTTTTGCAGAGGATTCAAAACTTTGGGCTAGAATAAGAAATATGAAGACAGAATTCTTGAAACAAGTTCTCATTATTCTAAAGTCTTAAGTACCTGATGGAAATGAATTTATTTTCTCAATCAACATAAGTTTTTCATCAGAAGCAAAGGTTAACTTTCAACACTTCAACTCAACTGAAGTTATCATCCAAATAACAATCGCTATAAGCTGGAATGGATCTATTCAATGTCACCTTATAGAGATCCATCAAAAGACTGTTGTCTCTCAAATATGCACTCCAAAAGAAAAATAAAGGAGTCGTCTGAAAAGCTTTGAAGAAGTGTTGCGCAGAAGCATTGGAAGTCAAAAGGAGAAAACACCATTCACCAGGGAGCAGATCAAATCAGAACATCTCTGAAGTATATAGAAACTACTTCCAGATTCCGAAGAAGATAAAGCAACTATTGAAGAACAAAAAGTGAGGAATTCATAAGATGATCATCCAGAAAATTCTTACTTTCAAGCTCTGAAGAAGGCATAGACGAAGAAGTTGCAAGCTGTCAGAAGTATGAATAGAATCTTGTGATTCTCAAAGAATCTCTTAAAGAAAGATCTAGGATCAAATTCGTAAAGCGTCAACAAGTGTCATCTAAATTCTCTCTCTTATTATGTTCTTTTTTATTTACACATTTACGTGTGCTGTCTCTTCATTTCACCGTAATACGTCACAACACGCGCTATAGTGTTTTCTTGAAAATAGGAATAGGTCATCATTACTTTCCTTGCGTACACGTTTCCATAACTTTCTCTATATGTCTTTTAAATAACCTCCCCTCCTTTATCTCTTACTTAGGTTCAGTTCTAGTTCAAACCTTAATCTCCGAAAACCAATTATGATCTCTCAAATCAAAATTTCTCTCAAAAGACTCTATCCTCCCAACCGAAAACCCTTTCCTCATCTTCTCTCTTTATCACATGGAAATTATCAAAAGAGTTTAGAAGAAAAACCATATGATGCTCCTGAAATTACTTTGTCTACATATTTGGATTTCTTAAAATTTCTTTGTGAACCCTTAGTAGATTTTCAAAACATCAAAGATGATGGCTTTGATCTTTTGGTTGATGTTACAAACCAAGGATGGGAAACTACTTCAACCTTCTCAACGGACGTGTTCTTCCTCACCTTGTGAAAGACTTCTGGATAGATGCAAATTCATCAACCTTCCAAGTGGTATCATTTGTTAAGGGAAAGAAGGTTATCATTAATGAACAAATCATTGCCAAAGTTTTTAATCTTGATGGAAAAGGAATATGATGCTATGAGGAAAACAGTCGATGGTTAAAAATGATGGAAGTCTATCAAGTCATCTTCAAGTTACAGAAAGCCTCAAAGAGTGATGGTGTGATACGATGGTATAACTAACTTGAGGGTTTTGCATTTGATCGCAAATGTTGCGGTTCGTAAGAGTCGCCATCGACTTTTCTTTTATCCAAAAGGAAAGGTGAAAAAGCACAGGAAATACCTTTGAGATTATTTGTTCAGTTCGGGGGGTAGATTATGAAAAGGGAAGGTATTAGCACCCTTTTCATCCATGGTTTTCCATGGGCTCTTAGTTACTTGCTAGATCACTTGCTTTTGTTTGAAGTTGTGCTTTGTGTGGTTTTTTTGAAAGTATTTTGTAAAGAGGCCATTGTTTAGGCAATCGTTGTAATGATTCTTGTTTGTAAGAATGTATACAAAGATGTTTGATCTTTTGAAAATGTTTTCAAGTTTGTAAGATGTTTGAAAGTGTAGGTGCTTGTTTTGAAAATAACAAGGATGTTTGTTTGAAATTTGAGCAAGTGATTAGGAGCATTCTACCTACTCAAAAAGTCTTTTTTGTTCATTTTCTTTTCCTTTGACATAGTTGTCTTACCATTGATTTGGTAAGCAACCCTATCTTTGGATGTAAACGGGACGGGCGTGGGTCATCGTATAACCATGATTAGCAATGTTGCAAGGTATCTTAGCATTCTTTTTTAGGGACTAACATCATTTGAAAGGCAACTTAGATAGCGTCATCGAGGGACTATGATCTTATATTTGTTTGTTTTGCTAAGATGCCTTACATGCGTAATATGGTCATTTTGTATAAGGCAACCAAGTGGAATAACCCTATGGGTGCTTGTGTGCAAATGTATTGTTTTCATGCTTGTTTTTGTCTTGAATTAGGGTTTTCTAAGTATTGGTTTTAGTCTTTCCATACAAACCCTAATTACTAGCATGTTATAAAAAAGCGATAAATTGCGAAATTTAAAGTTACTACACTATTACAACATTTGTGGGGAGGGGGGTGTATAAATTGAATGGGGATTGCAAGAATTTAAAGCCTAATTAGTCTATTACAACCATATTGAATTGATATCAATGTACAAGAAAATAAATAAATACAAAGTACAAAATGAATAAATGTACAAAAAATGTAAAATGTAAAGAAAATGTACCTTTGTTTGATTTTCATGAAAAATGGATTTTGTCTTAACCTAATTAAATAAAGAAAATAATTAATTAAATTTGAATTTTATTAAGAAAAGATTTTAAATAAAACCCTAGTTCTATTAATTAATCAAAAGAAAATAAGTTTAAGAAAAGTATTTTTTTGGTATTTTTATCTTAAAAATATTCATAGCATTATAAAATATTTTTAGTCTTTTTTATATCAAAATAATATATTTAAATTAGTATGAAAGAAAATAACTAATAACCTAATTTTAATTATATTTACAAGATAATAAGAAAAAAAAT